AATCAAATGGTAATCAACAAGACAACAAAAACACTAAAGCAGTGGTAAAAGAGAGGACATCAATCAACTTAATATAATATTTTCCTTTCCTGGTGCATTTTTGCTAGGTGTATCCTGTGGAGTATCTCCACAGCATTCTAAATGGCATTATTTTATCAACAGTGTGGAGTGGTGCTTAGGGCACTGCATTTCTTGTCTGGGCTATGGGACAATATCCTGGGTAGGGCACTGTTGTTGGCTATTGCTCCTAGTACTAGTACCAGCTACATGAACAGGTACTCTTTGCAGCTCAAGGGTTGTGAATTGTTTTTCTGCATGTACAGTAAATAGCACAGCTTACAGCTTAAACCATGACTCTGAAAGGGGTTTAATTTTATAGATGCATTTAGAAATTGAAATTGTTTTTGTAAAAAAAAACTTTGTACTGACATTGTACAAAATGGTTTTGTGGTAAGTTGTTTGCTTACTGAAATACAAACATTTGATTTAGTCTGCTGGTTAGCTAACAAATGTGTCAGTGATGTTGTATTCTTTCATAATATGTGATATTTCTTCTAGTTCTTATTTGTAAGACAGACAGTTTTTGCAAAAAGTTAGTTATTGTTTCTTGAAAGTTTTTCATGTTATACTGACTCAGATGTTGGTCAAGTATATGTAAAAACAGATGCCAACTCACAAAACATGTATGATGTACTGTACATTCTTAAATATTTTGAGAAAGTTTTCTTTAAATTCAAATCTAGAATCATGCTCATCTTAATCTAAGTCAGCTTTGGAACTTTGCACCATTATGGCAACCTGCTAAAGCTGGTAAGAAGTATTTGGTCATGTTCCAGTGCATAATATTGTGGATTCCCAAGAGAGATTTGCACAGTGTGATGCAATTGCTTTCATACTGTTTTAGTACAATTTTGTAAGATGCAGAATAACACAGACTCTTTATTACTCACTCACCTGACAAGTTTTTATTAATTTAGCATGACTATGATAAAATCACTCCAGGAGACTTATAACAATGACTAATGACAATGATTAAAATTCCTTTTAAAAGGAGTGATCAAGAACTGGCCTGTTGTAAAATCCTGTGCTGCAGACAAACCCTCCTGGACAGTTCATGTGACGTTAGTAAATGTGGTTCTGTCAATTTAAAACCCATAGTATGTTTTCACATGCATGTTCCATATTTTCAGAGCATAGATATTACTTGCAATATTCTTATTCAAGCTTGCTCTTAATATTCAAATATTTACTTGAGAATGCAGGTTTTGTTTCACTATAAGACATTTCTCAGTCTCACTACATAAGGTTGTGATGTCAATTTGATAAATTTGTGATGTTGCGTGAAAGATCTACAGCCTCACTGGATAAATGGACAATTAGTTAACAGCAGAGTAAGACTTCTGGGGTTCATGAGTCTCTAGGACTCCGAGAAACAGTTAGCATAAAGCACATAATCGATCTAATCGATCCAAGGATCTAATCTGCTTGTTCCATACTCCCACATCCCTTTGCAGGTTGAAAAAGTGTCTCCTGTTCTCCGGTTTTAAGACAGTTCAATGTAGCTTCTGCATGCGTCATGTGTGGGTTTATATTCTATTGTTGAATTAGAGGACATCAACTAGGTTGAATTGTCAAAGTACAGTATCTGAGGATTTTGAATACCTGTATCGGGTCCTCTGTAGTTTCCTCTGTTTAGGACTAACAGTTCAGATCTTTTAACCTGTCAATACAGTTTAACTTCATCAGCAACCAATATCTCTAGCCTTTTTATTCCTATAGCACAAACTCTGTGTGTAATAGTGTTAAAAAGTAAATGAGTACTAAGAATCACAACCATATGGTGCACTTCAAATAGTTATAAAAATACCAACATATAGTCAGTTGAAGATATATAAAAATGGTTCTTTCATTCTATGAGCACCTTGCTCTGTCGCAAAAGACAGACGCAACAGTCACAGAGGAAAAACAGCTTGTGAGCAGTGTTTTTTTTTTTTCATGATGTTTGCGTGGGAACTCCTAGATTAATCATGACCCTGGGTTATATTTAGCAAATGAGCACCAGAGGACTGATAGATGGGTATAATGTGCTCTCATTTTAAAAAAAAAAAAAAAAAAAGAAATGCTCAAAATATTCTTCACTGGACAAAACATGTGATCTCCAATCTGGTTGCTAAGACACCAGAGTCTATATCTGGGAGCATGAGTCTAATTTTAGCCCGGCCATCAAGCGTTTCTTTAATTGTGACCACCGGAGTGACGAAGAAGGGGACCAATTTGAGATGCCCAGAGTTAGACTGACAGTGTTTAAATTGTTCTTGTAATACGAGAGATGACTTGTACTTAAAGGTCTATTGCTGTTCCTGTGATAAAATGATGAACAAAGTTAATTATGTACAGTTAAATATAGCCATGCTAAATCAAAACAGTATAAGCATCACTTCCATGAAACTTACTTTGCCTGTATGCTCTTAAAGAGTCCTGTAAAATTAAGAGAAGTATAGGATTTGTAATTACTTTTATAGAAACTTGCACAATGGTTTATTTTATTTAGAAGATAATAGGGAACACTGTATCCATACTTCAAATGTGATCTCATCCTTTAAGACAGTGTTTAAGACTCAACCTTTTCCAAGCTACTGCAGACTGACAGCAAAATTTCTGTGGCACTCTGCCACCCTTCTCATATACACACATGCAAAAACAGATCCAGGATACAACAATGATTTTACAAACTACTGTACTAGAGTTGGGTTGAAACCTTTAGCAGATTTCTAGGTTTATCCTAGATCTCCAAATATTCATGGGACCCTGGTTGCGAACCAATTATGTTCCACTTGTCTCCAAAAAAGTATGTTAATATGGAGCAGTCTGATCCTTGTCCTCTTGAGTTAGGACTTTACAGCTAAACCAAGGTTCTTAAAAAGGGTCCAGTGATCCAGAATGTACAGTTTAATGACCCCCTGCTGGTTTGCAAGATTCCTTTTTTAATTATCAATATTAACAATGGTAATTTTGATTTTGAGTGGTTAATTCCAGTTGCAATTGGATCTCACTGCTGCACACCTACTGGTTCATTCATCACAGAACAGACCCCATTGTGATTTTATCAAGGTTTAGATCTTCTGACAATCAGTAACTAGATAAAAAAATGTATTTGCTGCCCCCTGGTGCCCTATAAAAGCTTGATGTGGGATAGCCTCTAAGATGCCTTTATGAGAAGTAAGTGGCTTTCTGTGAATGGATGGACTTTGCTAGCTTTTTTGAGAACTCTTTTCTTTGATATTGTGTGTGTTTTGTTTGACCCGTGTTTTACATTATCTTGGGGTTATTGTATTATGCTGTCTTATTTTACAGTACTTACTGTATATCTGATGATTGGAATACATAATTGAGATGTTTTAAAATATTATTTTCAAACTTACTTAGTTGTACATTGGACTGTGCCTTTCCCGTTTTAAACATTGTTCATTCACTTCAGGTAATAAAGAATATGTTAACACACTATGGTGGGATTTTTGCTCTTAACTTTCAACTTTAATGGAGGAGAGCCAAGCAATGCAGTGTATGGCAACTTTAAATGTGAATGATTGTGGTTGATTGGTCTCCATTGGTGAAAAATATTGTAGATTCCCCAAGTAGCAGCTCCTCCTACAAAATCATGCACAAGATGACCAAATATATAATCTACAACAGAGGTTGGCAACGTACAGCAGGTGTGCCATTATTGGCAGGTGTAGAGATTTTTAAAGGTATGTGCAATGAAAGCAGCACATGCAATAAAAGTCTAATAAGCCACAAATAATCTAAGTTTAAAAAAAACTATGCTTGACTGTTCTGTAATTCTCTATAACATGCTTTCCAATGAAAGTTTTTAAGCTTAGAAAAAAAAAGATTTCACTTGGTTTATTTACTGCATTATTTTTAGAGGGGCTAGCCCATTGTTTTTAAAGGAAAATCACAATCTGAGCCCTTTTGGAGAGATCTATATGGATTTGTTCAACATAAAGCCCATGCTGCTTGTGCTCTATGTTGTGAAAGTGTGGTTTATGTTGTGTATTTTCAAACAACAAATGGTAAACACTTCAAGGATGAGATGGACATGGCTTAGTCTATCAAAAGGGTCACAGGGAGATACAGTATGAAAAACACAGTAGTGTCTTCACACAAGTACAAATCAAGCCACAAAAGCAAGTTGCAATATCACAAAAGGTATTGCGAAACATGGAAAGCCATTTACAGATGGCCATTTAAGAGGCTTTTGTTTGAAGTGGCATTTTCATTGCTTTTAGCACTTGGATCAACATATCACTCTGAACGGGTATTTTTACACATGAAGTCAGTTCTTTGCCCATAACATTTCTTAAATTTTTATTAATCAAAATGTTAAGTAGGGCTATGATTGACATAAAAAGTATCAATTGCATGCAAATCCATAAAAAAACATGGGCATGAGCTAACTCTTGGCACATCCTTTCTGAAAGGATGGCAATCCCTGATGAAAACGTATGTTTTTGTATGCCATTGATACAGACAATGTGATGGAAATGTTTTCAAGGCATTTAACCCAGAGGCACCAGCTACCACACCTCCTGACAGCTGTGCGTTTCATATTTGTTGCGATAAACCATAACTGATGGTCATGTGGCGTTGGTTGTAACAGGGATCACATTGCATCTTCGCTAAGATGAATAAGGTTCGGAATTACACTGCAGAGGCAAACTAAGTTCGCCAGGTAAGGTAAATAACTATAGGATGGTTTAATAATAAAGAAATTATGTTGTAAGAAGTTACATTTAGAGAGAAATAAAAGGAAAAGCCTAATCCTTTGCTGCTGACAGCTCACATGTTTATACTGTGTTCATTTTATTGTTTAGGGTGCTTGGCAGTATATCAAATAATAAATGTTTCATGTGAAACAATAAAATCACAGACACCCCTTTTGCAAAACACCACAGACATTTGAACTTTAATAAATATTAAAAATAAAGTTCTAATTCATATGTACAAGTATTGTACAGACAAATCCTATGCATTTTGCAGTTTTTGTAAGGCAAACTTTAGATTTCAGACAGTGCCAGAAATAAACAGGTCCTCTACGCTAAGGCTGTGATGCGATCTATATTTTTTTTATTTTTTTTAAATGCAATGTAACAAAAGTTGAAGAAGAGGTCTCTCTGATTCTTTAGAGAATTTCAAGAGCTTGTAAGCATTTTGAACACAGATCCATGGAACCGATTCCTAATATAAGAAAAAAATTAAACTGATACGTGGCATTTTATCTTAATCTTAATTCTGTAATTTCCCCAGACTTCCAGATCATTATGATAACTACATCAAAGCTGCAGTACACAGTTTATTACATAAGTTCAAAATAGTGCAAAGACCCAGTAAGGTACCATTCAAATAGATGTTGGAAATGAAGACATCATAACACATTTAATCCAATATTCTGTGTATTGCTGGTATTACATAGCATGGACTACATCTAATGTATGTATTACTACTGTATATGAATAGCAAGGGTAATCATCCTAGAGAGAGTAGTTCATTAACAATTTCATAATTACAACAGCTGTTTAAAACTTCAGTAATGAGTATTGACTTGGAGACCTAGAGAACATTTTTCAAACAGAAACTTTCATTTCAAGTTGCTTTCCCAAAGAGGCCTGTATTTCACTGTGCATGGAAAAACAAGCAAGATAAAATTTATAAAGCTTCCACATAAAAGGACTTTTTTTACATACATTTTTCTAGTCAGGGGAATCATTTGTGTGATTTCTAACACTCCAAAGTACCAAAGAGACCAGTTCATTTTCCAAGCATCACTAAGTAAACGTGCAATAAACAGCAATAGCACCTCATATTTGATTATTGAAAAATTATATTCTTGGCAAAGTGAAGATTCTATTTTACTTGACAATACATTTGACAGGTAAAGCCAGACAATTGATTCGTTGTCTCCACAGTGGAGCTTTATTTATCCAAACCATAATTACATAATACTTGTATTCCTACTGACCTGAGAATGCTGTGCTTTCCATGTTATCCAGCTCTGACACGGAATCCAATTTATAGAATCGGCTGTTCTTGAGCCTGGAGCACCACATTTTCTTTTAAAAAAGTATATTTTAAGTGCTACATTTAGTTCTCTGTCTCTCCTTCACATTCAGTAACAAAATAAAACAATCGTACATTGAATTGTGAGGTTAATTTAACAGCCGCAGTCATTTCTAAAATTAGATGCTTTGTGTAACCAACATTACTGTTTATTTTTATTAAATATAGGAGTGAAGTTTAAATTGATTGGGCCTTTCAATGCATAATATATACCAAGTAACTTATTTGCTTCATCTGAACTTCTTAAAAAAAACATTGGTCCTTAAAATAAGTTTTAATTGCTTTTCAACTGGAAAATAAATGCATAGAATTTCTTACTTTGTGGTACCCAGTCATTTAAGACTTGTAGAAAACTGCTCACTTGAGGGGTACTATTGCAGATATTTTTTTTGTCAGGAATTATAATACTTATCTTTACATAGATTACAAAACATGTACGATGGTAACTTGAGTGCGAAAAAACAATTAACTAAATCCTAACTCTTCTGTGTATCATTATTTAGATGCGTGAAACTTTGTCTTTGTATAGGTGCGTGTTCTCTGTATTACAATTCAATTGTAAATACTATATTTTAAACAATATGTGCCTCCTAACACTAGTTTTCTTAAGTGGTTTGGAAAGATAAAGTTTCATTTATTGGATGCCCTAAGACACCAATATTTATAATAGTTTAAATATGTTGGATGGCACACAAAAATATTCAATTGCTTTCACCAGATCTCTTTAGAAGGGAATCCTAAAGTGATTTTGTGATTCAAAGCAAATGTGCAAATATTTGCCAGTGGTTTTTTTCCCCACAAAGCTTGTCATTTCTTCAAATTTTGAAGTGGTAAAAACATCTGTACCTTATTTTGTTCCGGTATGTGGCATAGCACCAATATAATTTCTGATGTAATAATTACAATCTGTGATAAAAACAGCTTTCATCTCTATAAGAGAAAAGCAAATTTGTCCTTCCATGCTGGGGCTTCAGTTTCTTTAAATTTTTATTTTTAGAACTCCCTGCCTTTGTTTTTCTGCAAGTAGCTCTTGGATTCTTTTGTTCCTTGTTTTTTCCTGAAACAGCTTTCTTCTGGGAATGACATTGTGCTGAGGGACTTCATTGTCAGCTCCATGTATTTTATAGGGTACATCGATCGCATTGTTTTCTCGGATGTCCTCAGTTACATTATAACTTACGGTGGTCTGGTCTGTAGTAACACTAGGCTGTGTCACTGCAGTAGGCCTCACTTCTATTTCAGGTGTTGTTGCCATGGTAGGGAGTTTGTCTTCCACCACATTGCTACTTTTGTTGGTTAAGTGAGGGGCAGTGTCACTGCTCTCATTGCAAGATTTGCAGCACATCTGCTTGTAGCCAGGAATGGAGCAATAGCGGTTCAATACTTCCATGCGACAGAAAACTGACTTGTCTCCTTGGCAGCGCTGTCCTGCAAAATGGAAAACAATGTAGTCATTTACATGAAGTTATATCGAGAGATTAGAAAGGTTCCAATGAAATCTCCATTTAGGGGTAATAGTTTAAAACACAACCCGACACAAACTAAATATCACAATGATACCTAATTTGCCTTAAAACGCTTAACAACTAAACTTTCTAGAACAGAATATCTGTTTTAGATGTGCCGTCTGGGAACACAGTAGTATCTCATTGGCTAATACATTTCTCCTTAGGAAGTTATGACACTCATTTTAAAAAAATGTACCTTTAAACTGACCAAAATCATGTCTATTTTAAAATGGTGATTTTGTCAGTAAGTACTGTATATACCTCATTTTGTTTGCAATTCAGTTGTTTTTTGTATTAATTCACATTCTGAATATCTTGAAAATGTCAACCGTACAGATTTTATTACTAGTTTATTTAATTTGGTGTCACAGAGAAGTGGGGTCTGAAGAACTATAAGGGAGAAAGAGGACCAACCTTTGCAGAATGCCTCCTTTTTTACAATGGATACTGGTATTCTGAAGTAATGTCTCAGAATCAGAACTGAATTTTAATTTCTAACATTCTTTAAAACATTGATTCAATCAGACTGTTTTTGTTCTGAAAGCAGCTGGAAGAAGGAATGAAGCAGTAATTATAAAAAAAAAATCTGTTTCTATAGAGTTTTCCAGTGATGTGTTCAATACTCCTGCCATAATTGTGGATCAATGAGCCTGGTAAAACTGTGTCTAATTCCTTTAACTGCCTTGTGCTTTTTTTAATTTAAAACTATGTGACTTTGGACACTACTTCAAGACTCAGAGAGAGCGCACAAGTTGTTTTTTTTTCAATTTTTATTTCTACAACATTTTTTTGCAGTTGGTAATGACAAAAACCAAAACAATAAGATGCACTTCCCCTTTCCACTCAGATTGGTATATTTATATATATTTTGTTTTATTTTTAAAGAAAAAAACAGTATCGAAAGGTACAATTTCACAGTCACTTTGGTAAAACACTTCATTGTTTGGAAATAAAGTAAATAATTCCATGGTGATGTAAAAATTGAAATGGCACATTAAGTGTCATATTAAATATTTACAAAACATTACTAAAGTATCCCTGATAAATCAAAGTGCATATAAATGTAGTGCACATTGCCCATAATCACCCCCTCACAGCTCCCCGACATTGAGGTGATAATGCCACAAACAGGAACCCATTGTTTTTATTCAAAAAGTAAGGATAACAGTCATAAACATTATTGATACAGTCAACATCAATGTTATTTACAGTATTTCAGTGCAAGTTCATCTTGCTATTGTTTTCTCCACCACAAAATTTTAGACACCCTCTACATAGTCACAACGAAAATATGTGATCACATTATAATGACATGTCTGAAGTGCTGAAGGATGATTTATTTCTTTCCAACCTTGTAAACTATTCACTTTGATTGAACTCATCTTCAAGTTTTTGTTTTAAGCTGCCTCTAATCCTAGTTCTTCTTTTCAATTCAATTCACACTGTTCTTGACTAATGCTATCTTCGCCAGTAATAAATGCCATTACATTCAGTTCCAGATAAGGCATTTTCTTTTCTGTTCTTTTTTTTAAAAAAAATGAGCTTTAAAGATGAGGGTTCATGAGGTATTTGTATCACTTTCTGACGTTTTATATTTGCCAGATACAATACGCGCACACACGCGTACACACACCCACGCAAGATTCCACTCACAAGATTGCACATGCACATGACACAAGTCACGATCTTTCTTTGAGAAAATGGCATATACCCATTTTACTGCCACATGGGCCTTCTGGTAAATGTTAACAACATTTCCTGCATAACAAAATCCCAACCCTGCCCCATACTTTGCTTTTTAATAACTCTGTATTCATGTAAAATTAATACAAAAATACACTTAACAGTCAACGATCAAAGCGATCAATAGCAGTCAAAAGGGTTAGGCAAATAAGCCACAGCTTATTCATTTTTAAAAATGATTACTTTAAATAAAGTCTGCAAGCACAAATAAGCTGCATTTATTGAACGTTAGTATTAACAGTCAAGAGAGAATATGGAAATGAGGTGAAAATGCTGAGCGGCCTCCCATACTGCAAACTACCCCATTTAACTTCAGCCAGTCTTCTTTGTTACCAATTTGAGAAAATAAGTGTCATTTTGTTAAATGAATTAGTAAATGAGCACTTGGCAAATGTCATTATTGTGATGCGATCACATTCACAATAAATTTTTCTCAGTTGCTCCACCACTGAGAAAAAGCATCCATTTAAGAGCTTGTTTTCCAAGGTTAGCCAAGCACAACAAGCAGGCTGAAGACAGCGCCCAATCAGAAGCCTGCAATCGCCATAGGAACTCCCACTCGAAGCCGCCAATTGAAACCCTTTCTTGGCGTGGTTAAAGGCCCGTGCTACAACACAGCTCCAAGACAGACAGCTTAGGAGCCATCGCCCAGTGAAACGCAATCAGGAAACCCAAAGCGCAGCTCTTCTCATCAGGGAAATTTACCACGCAGGGAGAAGGAGAGAAAGAAAGGCAAGGTCCATGTCAGAAACGGCATGCATTTAAGGCCAAGGTCAGAGTTATAAAGGGGTCGTTTACTTGAAGAAATCTTCTGGATGGGGAATTCTGGATCTGGTCTGGAGAGCCATTGGACCAGGAAGTTCCCTTTCTTGTTTTGGTCTGCAATGCTCTCTGAAAATAAATGGAAAAAGAAGACACAGCTGTGGTTAGCATACTGTGGACAATCCTGAAAGGACACTGGTGTAGTGAGTTGTCAGGTTTCTCATGAGGACAACACTATAAAATATTATTCAAGCATTACTGCTTAAACATTTTTCAGCTACAGAAAACAAATGACCTAATAACCTTCCTATCACTAATATTGTGCAATAATTAGAGCTTTGGGTTACGTTTACTTAAGCAGATGCTAAATGTGGAAAGAAATAAGCATTGGCTGAACTGCTAAAAAAACACCAAAACATCTTTCATCTTAAGTGGGCCCTTAACTCGCTTGTGATCGTACAAGAAGAGCTAATACCATCCGATTTTAAACAATCAACTTACTAGGGCACGGAGGTAGTCTACACACTCTGGTTTTCTCTGGCTTGGCTTCAGTGCACAGCCCAATAGTGTTGTCCCGTGTGTGACACAGGACCTGTCTCTCTTGGGTTCCATTGGCACATGTCACAGAGCACTGGAAGAAACCCAAAGGTACAGATGTGGTTTTGCTTTATACAGAGAAAAATGTAAACAGATCACCAAACAGAAGAACAACTGCTCAATAAACTTAAACTGTGTTAATTCACTGGCATGCTGACTGAGGATCTGAGGCAACCAATGATTTATTTGACATTTATGCAAAGAACAGAGGGGGGAAAAGTGTCTAAAACTCTATGTTACAATGATTTGTTTTCCCTTGGGCACGCTGAGAGGCTGATTGGATTGGAGACGCTCTTACCTGTGACCAGGGACCTGTCCTCCACTGGGCGGGACACAGCTCGCGGTTGCAGGGCCGGCGGGACTCTGGTCGGTCATCGTTGCAGTACTTGCTGTGGATGGAGCGGTTGGTGCCATCGTGCAGAGGCTGAATGCAGCGCACCGTGCGCGACTGATAACCCATCTTCCCACAGGTCTTAGAGCAGGTCCCCCACTCACCAGTCACCCAGCTGCAGGTTTACAGTTAGAATTCGTATGGCACTCACACTGATGGCTACCACAACAAATACACTCACACATATAAATAAACCTGTCCAATTAAAAACATGAATTGCAGTACAGATGTTAGATTTAAAACTGTATGTGTATTACTCGGTATAGTGTATGCATTTAGGATCCGTGATGGTTATAGGATTCAAAGTGTGTAATATATTTTATCTGCTCTGATTTGAGTGGGAACTGCATTACCATGTGGGCTAATAAGCAGAGGTTAATTCCTAGCAGAAAAAGAAAAGGAAAAGAAGAAAAACACTGCTCCCGATCCTTCTGTAGGTATAGAATTAACCTCTCCTTTTTCCTCTTATCCCTTCTGCGTCATTGATATCACAGTAAGATGTATGGGAACAAAGGTATAAAGAGGGTGTGTTATTTTACAATAGTCCTACTATAAGTGAAGAAGTAGGGATCTTTCATGACATGCTTAAATGAAAAAGCTTACATGGGCTGAGAACACTCTTTTTGGTTGCAGTCTCTGCTGATTGCCCTAGGCTTCTTGATGTTTTCACAGTATGTGCGGTGAACCATTTTGCTGTCTGATTTCCTTCGGCATCCATATCTTGTATACTGCTTACCTTACAAACAAAACAAACTGTTAGTAGTTAAAAGTGAGTGATTTACCTTACTTTTTCACCATATGTTTTTAATAAGGCCGGTTGAGAATAACATGCCAGAACAAGATGATTCAATTGCATGATCCTCGTTGATCATACTGAAAAACTAGAACTGCTGAGAAGTTCCTTCACGTAATAGTGTATCAGAATTGCCATTTTAGCTCACTTTAATTCAGGGCTCTCTTGAGTTTTCCAATAATGGATAGTTGTGAGCAGATCATTAGAAATATAAACTACAATAACTAGGTGTAACTAGGAATCAAATGATTGACCACCAAAACTACAATAGAACAGAATAGCAATACTGTAAAAATGTTAGGATGAATTTGTGTGAGGAGTTTTGGGCTTTTTTCCTTTTTACTAGGTTTACCATTGTCTCTTTCCAGCAGAGGGCACTCCATCTTTGTTCAGTTCTAGTAAATTGTGTCACACTATAGAGCTAGGAGCCTGTGTGATTTAATTACATTATACACGGATCAGCCATTAGGAACATAGTATCTAGAATGAGGGCACCCTCGTGAACATACTGTATATGGCTAACAATCACAATGTAATACAAATTCATTGTGTCACAAAGAGATTTTTGTTCATATTATTTAATCAGTTTTAGGCCTCAACTGTTCGTCTTGAATGATAGAATGATTAAACAATAAACATTTTTTAACACTTTTGAGGCATACGAGGAACTGTTCATGCTCTGAATCTGGATTATTGCCTTGAATTTTGCCAATGAAGATGAATCAGTTAGAGGTTATTGAAGTAATTTATTTAAACCAAGATGTATCTCAGCTGTTGTTTCTCAGCCTGTTATTGACAATGTTACCTCCTCCACATGGTTTGGAACAGTGGGACCATTTCTTCAAGGCCCACTCAAAGTAAGAAGAGTCCTCCACTTTGTTGTCCTCGATAGATGACTGCAGGTCTTCATGGATGATGTACTTGTATGACAGAGTAACTTTGGAGTCTCCATGGGACCTGATCTGTGAATGAGCCACACTTATCAGGATCAATTCTAAGCAGGCATCCAGATATTAAAACACTGTACTCTCAGCAATTCCGTCAATGATCCCCATCTATGAATTTGCTTCATTACTCTGCTCTCCTCCCCACTGATAGCTGGTGTTTGGTGAGCGTTCTGGCACACTATGGCTGCTGTAGCATCATCCAGGTGGATGCAGCACATTGGTGGTGGTGGCCTGGAGTCCCCATTACCTGTAAAGCGCTTTGAGTGGAGTGTCCAGAAAAGTGCTATATAAGTGTAAGCAATAATTAATTATTATTTTTAAGTATAATAATGGCTTCTCAATTGTCATTTTGTTCCACATTGGGACCAGCTACTGTTTTGGCAGTATGTTTGCACTTATTCTGTTGAGAAGAGAGATAAGCAGATAAATGCAATGTAATATAATTTCCAAAAAGCCGAGGTGGATTCAATTCAGAATCTGGGATCCTATGTGTGTGGAGTTTGTATGTTCTCCCCATGTTCACATGGGTTTCTTCCAGGTGCTCTAGTTTTCTCCCACAGTCCAAAGACACAGTAGTAGGTTAATTGCTTTCTAGGAATATTGACCCTGTTGTGAATGAGTGTGAGTATGTTTGTGTCTGTGAGTGCCCTGTGATAGACTGGTGTCTTGTCCAGGGTGTACCCTGCTTTGTGCCCATTGCATGCCAGGATAGGCTCCAGCTACCCTGCAACCCTGAATTGGATGATGCAGTTATAAAAAGGATGAATGGACAAATTCTAATTAAAATTAAGAAAATGTCAGTATGAACAGTATCAGCATAATCAGAGCTGGTCAGAGTAATGAAGAAGAGTATATGGATTAAACGCCTTATAGATATTATACATGTACGTACACACAGGTCAAATGGTATGTTTACAGTGAGAAAATAATATTTGTCATAATATGCATCCATACACATACTGTATCTGCAGCATCCCTGTTAGAACTGTAGCAGTCAGTAAACTCAGTGTCTCACCATGATCAGAACCCCATACTTGAGGGGCCCATTGGTTTGAATGGACTCCCGGTCATCATCATTGTGATACTCCCACTCCACTCCCTTTTCAATTATTGTTCTCGACTCAGGGAATTCCCCTTCTCTGTTTAAGAAGACATTCCCTGTGGCCTGGTTCTTTACAGCTGAAAATGAAATACAGTCACAGAAAGGTTTTTTCTGTATTTGCTTCTTCCTAACTTGATTGTGATGAAGCATATAACACATTAGAAACAATTTATATTAGGTAGATATAAAATCATTTTTTTTTTCAAATTAAGCTTTCTCAATAAGTTAATATTTGTTATTATTGGAACATTTTACTTATAATTCTATTTGAAATCTGAATGTTTTGTGAACCTATTGCTGAGCTTTCCTCTTGCTTACAACTAAAAGTCATAAAAGAGAACCTGTGACTTTCATTCAGGAAAAAAAATACTGTTAGCCTTACAGTCTTATATAGAGTCTTGTATACTGTATATTGTTACAGGCTGTGGTAGGTGACTATGGAAATGTCTCTAAGAATCTTGATACACTGGGAAAAACCCAACTTCTCAACTTGTGCCAACGTTTCCACTTCCTAGAGCTTCAAACCAAGGAATGTTTATTTTGTTGTGCTGGATAGGATACTGATCAAAATAATCTTATGGTTTACCGTAGCTAATTCAGGTCTGGGTAAATGATTAAGAGTGTCAAAAGTGTAGCATAAAAAGACAGAGACACTGGGGAATGGAGGAGAACAAAACAAGATATAGGAGAAGACCAGAGGATACAGATCATAAAGCTTGAGTGAGGTGAGAGGTCCTTGCACTGATTATCCATAAAGATCAGATTGGAGCTACTGTAAGTATCCGATCCGTGCTAAGAGAGCTTGCTGTTCTTTTTTAGGGAACTCTGATTTCCCGAGTGAAGAATCCCTCAGTTAAAATTGCCTCTCTGGTTAGTAGTCACATTTTTAGAACAGTGAGATAAAATTAACCATAGGTTGCATTCTATTTAGTTTAAAAGGCAGCTTTATCTTATTCTTGCCTATGTAGTCATTATGAGTTTGAATACTTGGTAGCATTCTGGGTTTTTTCTGGGTGATCTAGATGTAGGCCTCTGGAATACCTTGACTGTAAACATGTAAAAAGAGTTACTTGGATGTTGTTTGTTTACTGTGTGTGTTGTAATTTTTTAACCAATTTTTTGTTTAGCACACTGTGCCTGAATTATTATGCTTTTCACCAAAACTGTGCCAAAAAACAAAGAACTCATGTACCTCTAATCATACCAACAGGTTGAGTTTATTCTTGGCAAAATCCTTACAAGTTATGACACTGACACTGATGTGGCTGTCTCTATTCTATCTAATTGTATCTCTAACATAAAAACTTGGTAGACTCAAAATTTCCTTAATCTTAACTGTGACAAGACTCAAGTCATGCTTATCGGCACCACCCATCAGCTTTGTAAACCCAATCCTGTAACCCTATCTGTAGATGGTTCTGTACTTGAGCTTCAGTCTAAACTGAAAAACCTTGCGGTAATATTATATTCTGGCTTAACATTCGACCCACATGTGCAGCATATTGTCAAAACATCTTTTTTTCACCTAAGAAATATCGCTAGACTACGCCCTATGTTATCACTTACTGTGGCTGAAAAGCTGATCAACACATTTGTGTTGACATACAGTAACACATTTCCTGAATTGACTACTGTAATGCTCTACTTGCTGGGGTATCTATATCTACTTTGAACAAACTGCAGTATGTCCAAAATTCAGCAGCCAGGTTCCTGACCAGGTCTAGTGCAAGTGATCACATTACTCTTATCCTGGAGTCCTTGCATTGGCTTCCAGTCAAATTCTGTGTGGACTTTAAAATGCTCACCTATAAGGCTCTGCATGGCTTGGCACCTCAGTACCAGTCTGAACTATTATCGTCCTACTCCCCACCTCACAACCTTCGCTCTTCTAATTCGGGTCTCCTAACTGTCACCCAAGCCCGTCTACATTGTAGACTCTGGAACTCTGGCTCTGGAACTCCCCAAGGATATCAGAGAGTCACCTTCTCTAAACTCCTTCAAATCCAGACTCAAAACCTTCTTCTTTAGAAGAGCCATTACTTAACTGGTTCCATTCTTTACCCCTCTGCTCCTACTATACTGTACTTTTTACCACCATCCATGGTCTCCTCTGTGTATTGAAATTGTGTTTTATATTGTGTATTCTTTTTATTTATTGTTGTTGTCATTCTGTAAAGCACTTTGACAAGCCACCTTTAAAGGCGCTATATAAAATAAAGTTTATTATTGTTGTGGGTTATGGATATTTAATTTTACTTATTGAGAACATACTAAATTGTATGTATTCTTTACATAAATAAACAAAAATCAAGATTTTGTTGTGTTATGTCTCCTTCCTTATTAACAATTTTATTAACTTTAACTAGTATATATATATAAACAGCACCAAAAATATTTTATAGCAGCTAACCAGGAGCAATAAGACATTTTAATTTTGGTTTTACAGCAATTTCCATCAGCTATACTGTATATAAGTTGCATTTTATCCAAATCTGCAATTAATAACATAAGCAAATATCTATTTAAAAAACAGCTTTATTATGTAAACCTCGGCTTGTATTTGTAGTTATATGTCTTAATTCATACCTAGGATGTGTTGAGTCCCTTTAAATTCTTGGATAAGGAGATGTCTTGCTCCTCGTGGGATTTCAAGTATCTTAAGAAAACCTGGAAAAAAAGAATGAATAAAAGAAAATCTAGTTTTAGTTTTGCTAGATATGATCATATTATGGATTTATTTTTATCAACATTTTACATATACCAGCTTACTGGAAAGAAAACAAGTACTCGCTTATTCCCACCTGCACAAAATTCAAGGTAACATACCTAAAAATATATTTTCTGTATTAATAGACAAGACAGTAAAATCATTAAAATACTATACAGAAATACTATTGTAATGCATTGACAAGGACTTTAGACACTTATCATTCCTCCATATCTTATTATCAAAATTACCAGTCATTTGAAGAGAACTTCACTGCCACAAATGGGAAGAAAATAAATATGCTCAATTCTCAATCATAACGTAATTCCATCTGCAAGTATCCATTTTGAAACACCCTACTTGAAACTATAAACTCCAAAGAGAGAGTCTTTCCATGGTCTGCAGAAGGAGTCTGTTTGCTGGACTTGTTTCTGTGGAACCAGCTCCACATGTTGATGACAAGTCCTCACACAGTCTCATGTTCTTAGGTTGTTAATGTACAGTACAACTCAGTACAACCGAAACTAAAATTATTCTGCAGCTAGGATCACACATTCTCCCTTCCCTTAACAACAAACTACTGTTCTTTTAAATTTTTTCCATTCATTGGAAGTTTCATTTCACACCTCTCTGCACCCATTCTGACTTCACACCTCTTGATTGGCCTCTCTTTCTGTCCCCTGCTCCCGCCTCTCACTCCTCCTCCCTCCCAACCTTTGTTCTCCCGCTACTTTACCTTTGCCTACTGCCCTGTCTCTCTCACACCTGAAGAAGGCTCCACGGTGGAAATGTTGTGTTCTCTTTCTTCTTTTTTTCAGCATGGAATAAACCTATTACTTGTTCCTTTGGTGGGTAGCATTGCTGCCTTACAGTGATGTCCTGGATTTGATTCTTGCTTGGGGCTCCTGTCAAATGTGGAGCCTACATGTTGCTTATACGCGTTATTATACAAGGTGCTACAGTTTGTTTTCAGCCTCCAAAAACATTCAGGATATGCTTGACTGGCAACTCTAAATCGTCCCTTTCTCAAGAAGAATAGCTTGCAAGGGAACTTCATCTATATGGCAATTGAACCTAGCATAATGTCTGACTCTAGAATAACAGATCCTAATGAGTGTGAACTTGCTCTCTGTTGCTGCCTTTCTCATGTTCTAATAATATCACGAAGACCTGGAATGGTTTGGATACAGTATAGCATGCAATGGTAACATTAAAAGCTCTTTATTGGCCCCTCAGAACATAACTGGCTGCCAAAGAAACAATCAAGATGTGGGTTTTTGCAAATACTGAAGGCAGCAGAATTTATAAGTGGAAATCGTTCTCAGTTATTGAAATAATAATGTATGGTAATACACTCATGCCAAATGCTTCCATCTTTAAACATACCTACTGTATACTGTACATGTATATACACGTTAAAATCTGTGACCATATTTCTTCTTTCATACTTTCATACCATAATTTGTGTCATTAGCCTATTTTGATGCTATGGCACTAGAATATGCACTCACTATCCCTGTCCATCTTTGTTGGAACAATACTTGCAGTTTTGTTGGCTCCGCTGCTTTATTGCTTGTGCTAGACATAGATCTCTTGATCAGTAAAGCCAAATACATCACGAGACTCCTAAATATTCCAGGAAGTCTGCACATGCTCTTGAAGTGGACACTGGATAAACAGTGTCTCAGTTGCTTAAGGGAAATGTACCTTTTAATTTTTAATTCTTCCCTATTTCCTTACTTCTGCCAAGAAACAAATATAAACTAATGATATAAGTGAGTGAAGTCATATGAGGTCCTTTCGCCACTCATATGGAAGTCTTTTAAATCTGGCACCATTAACCTTCTGTCATGCTTACGAACAGTTGGAGAAGCTCTGAAGCTTTAAATATTCGTGAGTTTCTTCATAAACTATTTAAAGTCAGCAAGTCAAAACAAAGCAATTTTGTGCTGGAAACTATAAAATATACTAATTACATATTTGTAATTTTTCTGTCATGTCCTTTTTAACTTGATCTATTGTCTGTTGTTTGTGTACTAGATGGTTGGGTTATGCTGAAATTGGGTTATGCCTCTCAACTGTTCCAACAGAAATATGATCTGTCAATGTGAAAAAGTGATGGAATACAGTTGTAGAGTGAAGCCTTATAGCACTGAAATAACTATTTATTGTAACAGTCAATTGAAAATGAAAACAGTCCAAGCAGAGCCAAAAGAGAACAGAGCATCCCAAAAATAAGTAATTAATTAAAGTAATGAACTTTAAAGTAATTAACTTTAAAGTTACCTAACCTGGAGTGACAACCTCGTAGGTTTGGGAAATAGAGGACTTTCCCCTCTTGCTGCCAGAGTTCGAATTAATCTAACAAAATAAATTGTTTAGTAACATTAGACCTATACATTCAATTCATAGGAAGTTGATGATCTGAGATCAACATTCAGTACTGTACCCAAGCTTTAGTATTGTTAGTATTACTGTAGGGCTCCCATTATCACGTGAAGTCACTAATGCTGATGGCCACAAAGCTGTAATTACTGTATGCAGGACATTTTTGGTATTCCACAGAAAGATTGGTAGGCAGATTAAATTACTCGAGACACAAATAGGATCCCTAAATGACTTGTGGCCTTGTCAAAAAAGTTATAGAGCTCATATCCAAATCCAATCCACATACTATAGAATGTTAAAAACACACTTTTCAAGGTAAACTTTAGATAGCATGGGGTAGTACATAGAAGCACGTCCCTGTTTAAGCTGCATTGAAGTAGACTTCACTAAGGTACAATAGGTTTGTCACACTAGCAGACCTTGCTTTTTGGCTCCACGGGTGAAGTTGCCCTTGATGATTTTGCAGCTGGAGTTATCCCCTCCACAGTTGCCACACTTGTCTTCCTGCATTGTAGAGCTGATCACATAATCACAGCCAACTTTCTGCAGAAAAAGATATCATAAGAGGAGTACCGGGAGAGGGTTGAGCATATCCAGTCATGATTCATAGAAAAGGCAGCAATCCTGCTGTTTCACGTTCAATGTCACCAAATGATTAGTCATTTGTAAGCAAGAATGGGAACACATTTAACAGGAATGTTTTGACAGTAATGTTTTGTCAAGGTTAAAGACACAATCAATTCTGTTTTAAACTTTGCTATGAAGGAAGGGTCCACTCGCAGAGGTAAGGAAGACATGATGACTGAGATATGACTGGAACATGAACTGAAAATGAATTGGCAGTGGGTTTTAACTTTTGATGGTAACTCGTGGGGGTTTGATAAGAAATAATTTATGAAACGGAATTGGCTTAGAAAGCAGAAAAAAAGGCTAGTTCAGATTTAGATTGTTTTTAGGCTGCCACTCACCACACAGTCACCTCGGACACAGATGCTATAGGGGTCTTTGTAGGAGCAGCGTGTCCCATCGTGTACCATCCTCTTCATGTAAACAGCATCTTTTGTCTCTTTGGACTGGCAGTACAGATGGCACCTCTCTTTTGCTATATGAAGGAAAAAAACAACAATATATTCAGAGAGACCAGTAGACATTGTGTAGTGGACTATTCACTTGTGAGCTAATGTTTGTTACATGTGAAAATACCTATAATTTTTTTTAATGTTACATTTATAGGAGATACTGTACATACCCATTGAGTAATTTCCCATATTTAATGTGACTAAACACAATAACATTACAAAATTCATTCAGAAAGAGGTCCTGAACCCTAGTGCTGGATCATGTCAAAGTAGATAATCATCAGAATCCATGAGGAATACCACATGTCCAGTCACAGACTTGTATCTCAGCCAAGGAGTGTTGAGAAGTGAGAAACTTACACTTATGTTCCCACATCTGAATGTCAGGATTTTTGCTAGGAATTAATTAACCTCCCTGCACTCCCCAGTCCCTAATGATTTTTACATGTACTGTACATAGCAAGTGTCGTAAACTGTTCGGGTCAGGATTAGCCCTCCAGGGTTTGATACTTCTCCAACATCTGCTCTTGACGCTGACTGACAGCAAGGGAACACCTGGTTAGACAATGATAACAGAAGCTTGACTAACACTTCCTAATCAGACACTGGAGAAAAACAAACAAAGGAATACTCTGTTGTAAATGAGCAAAAGGAGGGAAAGCCAGCAGATGTAAAAGCATTCAGCCCAAGCTTAGCGTCAGCTGACAGAGCATATGGAGTTAAGATTAGTTTTAAGACCATGGCAAATGGAGTCATAACCAAAAACACATCTAAGATATACAGATGTTCTCACTGGAATTTGAGACATGACTCAATGGCTACACCCAGGCAAGAAATACCCAAACATTAGTGCCCTATAGTGCCAACAGTGATGTTTTATTTAGAAAGCAGCTTTAAAGCTTTAAACCTCCACAATGCCGAATGATTTCTTGGTGAAAGAATCAACGGATGAGGCAAAGGATGTTGCCCCCTTTGCAACCATGTGTACATATTGATGCTGACAAACCATCTTGTGCAAAACTCACATGAGAATAAAGTCAAAGGTCTTGTTTTGTCTTTCTTTCACAATATGGTTATTGAATTCAGAAGCATAATAGTATAGTGATTTGTATTTGACATAAACAGGACTGGCCAGTTATTTTTTGGAAAAAAACAGAATTAGAAGGGTTAAGCTACGGAATCAGTTTGTATAGTTACAAAGTATTTTAAGAAAATAATTACTGAGAATAATAAGAAACTTATGAGGTATGCAGTAAATGCAACAAATTCAGAAAGGTATCTGGAAATGCCATAGCAGGTACATTGAATTTTATTGAATAGCACGATTTTTAATTAACTGCTTACACTTATATAGCACTTTTCTGGACCCTCCACTCAAAGCGCTTTAAAGGTAATGGGAACTCCCCTCCACCACTACAAATGTGCAGCACCACCTGGATGATGCAACGGCAACCAAAGTGCACAAGAACGCTCACCACACATCAGCTATCAGTGGGGAGGAGAGCAGAGTAATGAAGCCAATTCAAAGATGGGGATTATTAAAAGGTCATGATTGGTAAGGCCAATGGGAAATTTGGCCAGGATGCCAAGTTCACACCCCTACTCTTTTCGAGAAATGCCCTGGGATTTTTAATGACCACAGAGAGTCAGGCCCTTGGTTTTATGTCTCATCCGAAGGATGGCACCTTTTTACAGTATATTGTCCCCGTCACTATAATGGGGCATTAGGACCTACTAACACCTCTTCCAGCAGCAGCCTTAATTTTCCCCAGGAGGTCTCCAATCCATTGTAGGTAAATTGATATTGGTAAATTCATTATTCTGATTAGAAATTGTGATCAAAAGGCTTGATCAACAGAGGTCATCTATAAAAAGCTGTAGGCTAGCAATTAGTAGTTAAATTATTACTGCTATTGGAAATGACACAAGGTGTCCATCCATGACTTATGCTTTGCACCAGAGTGCAGATGCTGCTTTGTTCAGTTATGTCCCATTCCTCTCATAGAGCCCAAAAAAGAAAAAGAATATACCTGCTCACCGATTTGTTAATGCTACAGTAGATGCCACACATGATCTCAGCTCAATGTTGAATAGGACTCAAGCCTGGTGAGTACGGCATCCATATCATAACTGACTGTATCATCTTAAAAGAAAGCCATTGTTTCATAAGAAGCACAGTAACATGTATTGTCCTGCTGGAATGTTGTCAGCTCAGGATAAGCCCACAGGAAGCGCAGTAAGTGAGGACCTAGAGTTTGGTCAATGTAGGGCTGTGCAGCACAGTTTCCTGCTATTACTTCACATAGAGTTTTGCAGTAAATAACCACTCCTGCCCAGACCATCACACTTGGTTCTTATTAATTTTGCACTTCTGTGCTATAGCCACAAATGTCCATCAGAGTGCTATGCAAACCTAGATTTATCCCTAAAGAGGACAGATTCCACTGATGGTGCATCCACCTGAAGTGTTGCTTCAACATATGGCACAAATTAACTTTATTGAAAGTTGGTTTGGTTTTCACAGGCTTGACATTGAACAGGTTATATAACCTCATCGCCTGTGGCAAATCAGCTCTCTTACTAATTAGATGATCTAGTGCTTATACAACAATTAAAGTTGCTTGACTTGTATCATGGCAATTAATGATGAATTAATCACAATTATATCAAAACCACTTTATCAATTTCCAAAATCCATATCCTTTTTTATTTTTTCTAAAAATACACACATAATTAGAGTGATGTTTGTTTTGATGATACAGTATGTATAATTCAATCCATAAAATGAAAATGGGCTGTGTATTTTTCTTTTGATTTAATTTTCCTGTGTTCTGATTTAAAGCAGATGAGCTGAGCCAAACTCTAGGGATACAGAGACTTTCTTTTTTCAGTTATCAATAGCTTAAAGGGAAATCTCGATGCAAAACAAAAATCACATACAAAGCATGCCCAACTTCAGTTCCAACTTCAGTTTAGTACCATTTATGTATAGCTACATACAGTTTGCAATGTTCAGTTACAGTTATATAGTCTGGGACTTGCTTTGCACTGTAGTTTTCATTTAGGAATTTGCTTGAATTAGTATAATTAAAGAAATAATTAGTCCAATCAAGTAATAATTCTGAGATAGAATTGTAAGGAACCCCACAAGACCTCACAGACTGGGACTGTTTTGAAACATTCACACACAGTTCAGGCCTTCACTGACTTTTCAGTCTTTGATAGCGAAGCAGAAAAAAAGCAAAGAATGTTTAAGTAGTTGGGTTAGATCCTAATGAACGTGACAGAGAAATGAAATGCAGTACATGTACAGTACTTGGCATGAGGGAATGGTCATCTGTTTGAGAGGATAAGATGTCCAAGTCTAAGATCTAGGAAGTTTCTACAAGATGTACAGTAGATGTGTAGATGGGTTGGTGAGAGAGGTGTGAGAGAGATATGTGAAGGGAAGTCCTGGGTGTGAGATTTATAAGTGTAAGTGAGCAGATGTATGTGAGATTAGGATTTAACCTTTCTCCTGAACTTTTTATAAACTCTATTTGTTCCTCATGAAGAGAACACTACCTGAAACATGATGCCACATATATTCCTACTCTAGCGGAGAATCAGGCATGCAATTTCAGACACTAACGTTATTCATAGGTCATCGTTACTCACGGTCAGGGTGCTCGTAAGGCAGCCAGTGGTGCTTAGAGTTTTGGTACTCAAAGATTGGATCCCACAGCTTGCACTGTTCTTCCCTAAAGTCGTCAAAGAGCTTGGCGCACTCCTCTGTGTTGCACAGCTGAAACTCATAATTTGGCCCATAGCAGGTGCGGCCACCATTGGCTGGACTACAAAGGGAAAGACCCAAAAGGATGTCATTCTGGAACACATTGGTAGGCTATGTAGAAGCATTCACTATTACGACTTAATAATGGGACCATTATATAACACACGCATTGTTTGTCTGAGCAGGTCGTCAGTGTTTGCAGTTAAGAATTAAAATTAAAATGAAATGTGTTTGATAGCAGCTGCTCATCTGTTACCATCAAATAATCTTGTATAATTCGTGAAACAAATGGAAGAAAATAATTTATTTTGTAGACTAAATTCCAAAGGTTCATGTCCCTTTCATTTGGAACCTTCTGATGTTGGTACTCACAGTGGGTTATCACACTGACGGGTTCGGAAACGTACTCCACCTCCACAGGTTCTGGAACAGGAGCCAAATTTGCTCCACATGCCCCAGTTGCCATCCTGCTTCAGGATGTCAGGCGTCAGCCATATGCAGTGACCTTTGAAACAGTGCTGAAAGAGAGAGTAGTTCTTTACTGACCACTTTGTCATCACATCTTTAACAAAGCTGAAAAAGCTTTTGAGTTTTGTTAGAGATTTTATGATCTCTAACATTATATAATTACCATTATACTGTATGTTATGGTTTTGGCAGACAGAATACATGCATACAAGTAAAGGTTATTTTCATGCTGAAAAACAGAAAGGAGAAACACAACATTTTGGTTGTAGTCAACTTCAGAAAGCTGTAGGATGCTCTAAAGCTGAAACATTGTATTTCTCTTCTATTGTTCAGTATGGCATAATCTTTACTTGTTCTTTTGTAGTAAACACAAGATGACCGACCTCCCTACTCCAACAGATAACATAAATATATGTAAACTACATTTTTTCACAGCACCTCTTCAATGTGCTGTACTGTTTTGCATTATCACTATATTTGTGCCAAATGTGTCTCTTTAGACTCTTTAGACAAATACATATCTTTCCTTTTGGCTTGCAGGACAAGGAAAACATTTAGAATTAATTGAAAACAAGCATTTCTGAAAAACTGCAGGTCCAGTTTTTGCCATTTTGTTGGTTTTGGTCCAGTGTATGTGTATTTTGATAACGTGTAACTTGACAGTAAAGTCCATATGGTCCCTTGATGTTAATGTGGGGGCTGGACTGGATGAGCATCAGTTTGCACCATTAAATGGAAAAGCACAGTGAATAAGTTTTGGCATAGTACAGTTGTCTGTGAGACATCCTTCCTTACAATCTTTCTCTTCTCACTGGACCTTCCCTGTTTTGCTGTGCTACTATGGCAACAATAAAAATGTTGTCTGTTAAGTTCAGCGTAGGACAAGGTTAATTCAGTACATGATACTCTGCTAATCTGATATATATATAGACATTTTGAAACCTCCCTGCTTCTTTTATGGTGTGTCTCAAACTATTCACGTTGTTTTCTCTTCAATCTTGAACAGTATATTGAGAATTCATTGTTTTTATATGTTGGTACTGCCAGTGTTGTCAGATATATTTAATTGTTTCCCCCCCAAAATTTAGCATTTCTTTATTCTCTTAAATTTGCTGGTGCATGGCTTAGTAGTAAATAACAATATCATTTCATCGTGAACTGCAAATGAATAGACACTACAACAATGATGACAACAATAAGGCATTGTTAATGTTCAAGGCTGGTTTTGGTCTTTAAATAAATGCCCGTACTTAGCTGCATAAATATTTCAATTTCCCTTTTTGTTTTTCCTGGAATTAGAAAAACCAATCCCAAAATGCATAATTTTAGAATACATGTGTATAATGACTATAAAAATAAATTTATCACTTTAACTACAAAGAATCCCTCTACTGACATCACTAAATGAGCTAGATGGCCTTATTGGCCTCCTCCTCTCTATGGTCTTATTAATTCACAGGAACATCTTGTTTGTTGCAGGAGTACCAGCATATCTCTCGTGAGTTTTCTCCAGGTGCTCTGGTTTCCTCCCACAGTCCAAAGACATACTGGTAGGTTAATTAGCTGCAGGAAAAACTGGTCCTGGTGTGCTTGTGTGCTTGTGTGTGTGACTGCCCTTCGATGGACTCGTGACCTGTCTAGGGTGCATCCTGCCTTGTGCCTGTTGCTTGCTGGGATCGGCTCCAGCTCCCCTGTGACCCTAAATTTGATGAAGCGGTTAGAAAACGGATGGATGGAACATTTCACATCAACAAATGGTGAATTGTGAAAGCCAGACTAGAAGTGTGTACTGGGTGCCTGCTTGAAATAATACATGCAGTAAATCTATGACCCGTGTTTTGCACAAGGTTGCTTGCTTGTGGGATGTCATTCCTCTTGTAGGGCCTAAACAAGGATGCACCTGTTCACTGCTCTCTGAGTTCTAGTTAGCACATCCCAGCTCATTCCATAGAGGCTCAAGTCTAAAGAGTAGGGCATTCACAAAATAAATGCAATATTTTTATTCTTGCAGGAATATCATGAGGTAGCACCATGGGCATGTTCATTGTCCTGTTGGAATGGAAGGGCAGCAAGTGAGGTCCCAATACATCAATCACTGCAAAGAGTAGAGTTCATAAGGGGGCTCATAAATACACCAAAACCAAATGTGATCTTGCACAAAACAAAAGTTGATAATTTCCTCATTTACTCTTTGATGTACAGATGATGTTTGCACTTTAACTGTAGTTTTGGGATAACTTATATTTACAGTAATTGTTTTCAACAATGTTTTTGTAAGGTTGTTGCACAATTTGTGTTGTCACTGTCCTGTTTAATGGACATACTAAATGAAACATATTTAAAATATGTGCTGTAATTTAGACTCTAGTTTTACTTATGCTATTTTTATATACACTATTATCATGCAGGCACTAAATGGGACCTCCGACATCTGTCATGGAAAAGGAACATTAAGAATGGGCGTGTACCAACCTTCCCAGGTGCGCACATTGTGCCATCTATTGGTGGACCCTTCTTCGTCTTACAGAAAAATGGGTTGTCTGGGTGACTGCACCACAACTGCTTGCAGGGATCAAAAGTCCGATACTGAAACAATACAAACATCCCTATTCTTACACACAGTGAATCAGTTGAAGCAGATATCGACCAACCCAATCAATATAGAAAAAGAACACTGGCCAACACACAAGAACATACAGTAGCTCTAAGAAGTACAGATATGGATAATCACATTTAACAACTCATTCATTTAATTTACAAGAACACAGCTTGCTTTTAAATATTTACAAACACAAAGCAAACGCATGCAAAAACGTCTGTCAAGACAGTACTCACAAAGCTCTTGAATAGAGGCTATTACATTTCTGCTAAAATTCTGATAAAATGGGGGTCACAAAAGTGTATATATGATGGAAATTGAGGAGACTAATCTATAAAGTAAGATTGGCAACCACTTACCATATGTTCATGTGTGGAAGGGTCAGCTCTAATAAAATCTAACCAGGTCTACACTGTAAAACTCTTTGTAAAACAGACTTGGATCATGCTAATTGATTAATTTATAAAAGGGGCTTGAAGGCAATGTTTGAATCCAAGAGAAGATATACACTGCATTGCAGAATACTAAAAGAAACAGAGGACTGCATTCACAAGCATATAATGTATATAGCATTTGTCACATATTTTACAAAGCAAGAACAGCTAATTTAATTAGCTAAAAAATTAATTTGATGGCAGGTGAAGAATTAACATGTCACATTTAACATATTTTTATTTTGTTCTAGAGAAAAAAAAAACTGTTCCTGCAACAAAGGTTCATTGTTTGTGAATTTTCCCCTACCTGGAAACAAAAGTACAATTAAACAAATAAAAAAACAAATAATGGATCATTTGTTGCCAGACATAATTCAACTTTTAGCATTCTGCAGAATTCATGTTAACGTCACAATGAGGATAATAAAAATAAAATAAATAATAAATAAATGCTGCCACACCATCACTATGATATTGCCTTACCTGTGAGGCTGCCTGGCCCACCCTTTGCAGCTAAGGAAATGGTTTGACAAGAGAATAAAGTATTGCACTCCAATGGGCATTTGTGAAAATCAATAAAGGAAAAGTTATTTTCATCAAGATGGGAACTTGTGCTTGGTCTATTTTCTTTTATGACATGGCGATTTCTGAGATACAGCAATGGCATCTTTTTTCGTCAGGTCTCCTACATTATTCTCCTCCAGTCTTTTTAAAGAAATCTTATTCTAGCAAAGCTTACATTTCTTATAGCTAGTGTCAGAAAAAAATATTGTAGCCGCAGCTACCTTTTGACCAGAAAACACTAATTTGTAATACGTGCAAGTTTTGTGTTGTTTAAGGTCCTTTCCCATGATGTATACTTTGACTATTTTGTAATTATGTTGAGGTTTACGGAGAAAGACCTTGAGATACACTATATATCTCAGTATCATGGATATTCTGCCAAGGAGAGGCAACAGATCCTTGTGTGCTCAAGTTCCAGTTGAACAGAGGTAGAGGTTGGATGGACTCTCCCAGGGAATGCAATCACTTTGTATGACATCAATGATTAACTTGCCGCAACACTATACTTTCATTACGTTTACAAATTTTACACATTACAGGCTTTAATTATTAGGTTTAAAAATAAATATGACTACACTAATTGACTACACTATATTTTCACAACTGTTGTTAGAACTTTCTGTATGCTTCAGCAAGCTTTGAGATTTAATTTTGAATTTAATAAAGCATGGCTATGGTTATAAAATCATTATGACCCACAGGCTTCATTAAGTGGATTTCTTTGGCCAAGAAAACAGGAAGTAACAGTTTGAAATAAGGTAAACCTTTTTTATAGAATAAAAATCATTGCTTTTTACAAATAGCGATGTAAATTAGAAGCATGTTCCTCTCTTCAAAGGACAACACAGCTATACTTCAGTCAACTTCAAAGTACACTGAAAAATAATGACATTTATGCTTTGCTAATTCAGTTAGCATACTGTCTCTGATTGCTTGGCCAAAGACACGCTATGAGTCAAGTGTTTGGTTGTGCTCAGTTTGCTTCAATTTATTTTTCCCCATAGTGGAAGAACAGTTGTTGGTCATTTAATTGGCAAGGTGTGTCTTTTTTCTAATTTTCTATTTGTTTTCTAATTTTTCTTTTCTCATTCCTCCTCAGAAGCTCTTTAATTCAGCTCCAGTAAAGTCATCTCCAAACAAAAAAGAGCACACTTACTGCTGTACACATCATGTACCCAATGCCAAAGTCAAAGCGGCACTGTTCATTCATAGAATAATGAATGCCTGGGAGCCGGGGAAGGGAAGGCCAGTTATGATCAAAAGGGTCATCACGAAGACAGTCATAAGAACTGCAAAGACAGCAAACACATTATTGATCATCACATGAGACATCTTTAGTGCATGGAAAGACAAGATGATGAGAAGATATTGGTTACATACCCATGTCTTTAGAATGTTTTGCTGATTATTAATCGAAAACAAATATTGTTACACTCATGTTTTAAGGCTCAGAATAAAGAAAGGTGATGTCAGGAAATATATTTTGTTGTTTTCAGCAAACACTCACTTATATACAGTGTCTTTGTGTATCCAGAGCAATATCCTTTCTCTTTGGCTCAGAATTGTTAATCACTTTTCATAGGGTAGCTTCCTCAAGCTACCCTATCTGTGTCCTTGTAGATGTGCAATTCAGCTTCAAGGCTTGTAATTGTCAAGCAGGTCAATTGTGAGTGGAGATGGCAGTCTGCAACAGGCAATGTTAAAGCAGGTTTACTCACTGGAGGTATCTGCTCAGCTCCTGCTGGCTGCAGCGAGACCAGTGGAAACGATGAAATGCAGCCTGGACCAATGGAGCCATGATGCTGCCCATGTGTACTTCATCCCCACAACGGTTTCCCTGTCCATCATGCTCCATTCCTAGCCTGGTAAAGATAAAAGGCAATTTATTACTCCACATCAACATTATTTGACTCCTGTTTTTTTAACATATTGCTTTTCTTCTACAGATTTAACTATTTAAAAACACTAACTAGGCAAAGCATTAAGAGCCCCCCAGTCTGCTGATGAGGCTCGCTCAGTAACAGGCACTGTACAGCTGGTTTATGGAGCTCTAGAAAGACTTCCGTCAGTTTTAATAACCCAATATTTCTACAGATTTCAATATACTGAAACTTGGTGGGATGTGATGTTCAATTCCACAAACTAAAGACAATCTTGGTAGAATAGAGGGCTAGCAATTAACTGAAAATATGTTAAAACTTTGTGGAATAAACACCATGTCCTGTTCAAACTATTCTTGCTGATCAGAAATAACTGAACTATTGTTCAATAGTGATTCCTAATATTATGGGCATGTTATTCTTGGTCATCTGTAGAAACTTGTATCTAACCTGTAGAACCTATATACTGCACATATATATATATATGCACATACATATATATATATATGGCCAGCAGCCATATCACCCTGCAACTCACAACTGGCAACCCACTGAAGCTAAGCAGGTGTGAGCCTGGTCAGTACCTGGATGGGAGACCTTCTGGGAAAAACTAAGGTTGCTGCTGGAAGAGGTGTTAGTGGGGCCAGCAGGGGGCACTCACCCTGCAGTCCATGTGGGTTCTAATGCCCCAGTATAGTGACGGGGACACTATACTGTAAACAAGTGCCGTTCTTTGGATGAGACGTAAAACCGAGGTCCTGACTCTCTGTGGTATTAAAAATCCCAGGGTGTTTCTTGAAAAGAGTAGGGGTGTAACCCCGGTGTCCTGGCCAAATTTCCCAGTGGCCCTTTCCAATCATGGCCTCCTAATAATCCCCCTCTATGAATTGGCTACATTACTCTACTCTCCTCCCCACTGATAGCTGATGTGTGGTGAGCGTTCTGGCGCACTATGGCTGCCGTCACATCATCCAGGTGGATGCTGCACATTGGTGGTGGTGGTGGTGGAGGGGAGTCCCCATTACCTGTAAAGCGCTTTGAGTGGAGTGTCCAGAAAAGCACTATATATGTGTAAGCAATTATTATTAATTATTATATAGCCAGGATAAAACACCAATTTTTCCTATTACACTCACCTAAAATCAAAGTACTATGTAATTGTATTCAAAATGACAGTGAAGCCTGCATCTCATATTACTGTATGTAGGTAAAAAAGGAAAATAGTCAACATTTAAGAGACTCACAAATTGCCCTTCATTAAGGCACTGAAGAAGGAACAAAGCTGAGTGCTTGGCACTGTTCAGTCCCTATATTTTAGTCAAGGCCAGCTGGCTGGAGACTTACACATGGCCTGTCTCATGTGCTACCACAAAGGCAGAAGAGAACCCATCCTCATGGTTCAGAGTGCAACTTCGGACAGGGTGGCACATCCCAGTCACAGGGGCATATCCTGGGACAGATTACAAAAAGGAAATGCAACACGATCATTCCTCACACACAGAATAGCAACATGGATATCACCATATAGTGTACTTCTAACAATGTTAGAATTAACATTAACATTTAATTAATACTGTTGATTATCATCAGAAATATGCCTGAGTTAATTCTTCTTTACATATTGAAGTTTAGGAAGAAAATTTTTGTTTTTCATTTGGATTATTGGTTTCACAAACTGGCATCAGTTAGTCTTTTCTTTAAGGTGTCCTCTGTGTTGTTGTGGCAAAGAAAAAATCGGCTTTTCAGGCTATTGTTAAAAACAAAAATAAAAGAGATCAAAATAACCTAAATTGTATTTTTTTTCTTGACCACTGTCTGGGCATGTCTGCAATACAAACCTCTACCATAACATAAAAAACTGTGCCCTGTGTTTATTTTTACTGGTCCCTTTGTCTCAGTTTGGAGTGGTTTGGATTGAATATTCTAGATTGTGGAGTGCATATGTTCAATTAAAATGTTTTGAAGAATTTAGTGTCATTTCTTATTTCTTTTATTTTATTTTCTCAGAAATTCACCACAATTGTACTGTTGGTGACATAAAACTATACATGGTACTGTATGTCATGTGCCGTATATAAATTTGGACTCTTTTCAAGAATTAGTTGCATAGGGACATACAGTATATCTTCCTGGAACTATCCCTGTTAAACTGGAATGTCTTTTCATGCCTCTGCTGAAGCCCCTTTTCCTTGCTTCCAGCCTTCAGGATTTTATGTTATGCAAAATAACATCTCCATCCTCAATTTCTGGAACTGATACTTTAGAACACATATTGTTATAGAATTATTTTACATAGTATCATCTCTCATTTCCTGACAGACTGTACAGTATATCACTTAATTCAGTATGAGGATTTGTTTTGGAAATTTTGGTTTCATTTTCAGCAGCCTACATTTTTCGCGTATGTATCTAGCCACTGATGTATCCTGGTTATATAGAAGTAATGTTCAAGACATTTTCATAATGCTGGAGTTGGATGCTAATACTTTAAAGCTATTATCTTCTTCATGGTTTTCCCACACATTCAGACACTGAGACATCCTGTTTGATATACAGTATGTTACCTTGCATTCCGGTGGGACCAAACTCCTGTCTAGTTAGAAATATGGCGTGATCATGGTATTCTGCATCACCAGTATCTTCTTTCTGCTGTAGAAAAGCCCAACGGCACACATTCTCCAGGCTCTGGGAAGGATTCCCCACTTCAATGAGACTCATAGACTGAATGACAAAAGAAACAGTGAAACTCATTTTCCATCTATCTTTGAACCAAAAGCCACTTATTCCTGTCAAGAGCCATAATAGCCTGAAGCCTATCCCAGAAGCCTTGGGTGTAGGCGGGACTACACTCTGGACTGGATGCCAGTCCAGCAATACTCAATGCACACAGGGAGAGGTTGTGGAGATGATATAATTTAACCAGCATGCCGTTGGTAGGGGGATGGAAGTTAAAGTACCCAGAAAAAAAAACACATGGACACTATGGAGATCATACAACTCCACACAGAAGACATCCCAGGCTAGAAACAAACTATGGACTCAACAGCTATAACCACATCACCACAGCATCCCTTCATCTATTTTGTAACTGCTTAATCCAATTCAGACTCGTGGAGGAGCAGGATACACCATGGACAGGACACCAGTCAATCACTGCCTAAAAACTAATTTTATTATTTATTTTTCTTCTTCTCTTCTTTTTTTCAGCATGGAATAAACCTATTACTTGTTCCTTTGCAGCCTACGCATGCTGACGCAGCTACCCACTTGAATTATTATTTATTTGTTGTCTTAGTTCTCTAACGCAAGCACATTTCTAGGTGACATACTGTATGACACTTTGAATAGTCTGGAGACTGTTGTTTAAACTTTTAGCTGTAATGCAGGACAGGAGACCTTGCAATCCGACAGGCCTGAAAGAACTGGATAAGTGGTGGCATCACTTATTTACAAAAAGTTACCTTTTGAAGTTTGTAGTAAGTTTCCAACATTCACAATATAACAGACAAGTGCTCCAAGGATGAGTGTCCTTCAGTTACATTGCCAAACTGGATCCAGCTCCTCCTACTGCAATACTGCTGTACCCTGTAGGACAGAGCTAAATCGGAGCTGCTCTCAGCAGGCATTATGGAGCATCTGCTAAGTACGTGAGAAATTTTGGTAATAAGACTCTTGTTGGCCTTGGCAGAAGACCCACCAAAATCCCTGGGAAATCTAAAAAAAAAATGTTTTACTGTGCATTCCAAATGTATTACAAGCCCAGTAGATTTTAGTCATTTTTTCAAAAAGTCAAAAGGTATTTAAGTTAAGAGTTAAGACTGAGGAATATTAGACAGAAAGGAACTGCTTACTTGCTTCTCACTGGTCAGCATGGTTTGAACTTTTAAAGAATTTTGTTCAAAACACAAAACGGCACAGTATGTTTACAGAGTTGCTCAGTAAAGCCTTCCCGATAAAAGCTATTTGTTTTGTATTCACATTTTGTAGCCAAGAGTTTCTTTCGAACAGCCCTGGCCCAGACTGTAACAGGAGGAAATGACAGGCCCCTGCTCTGCCAAACGCCTTCTAGAGGCTCCACTGGAGCTTTTCTTGCTGTCAGGCCGATATCTCCTGCCACGAGAGGCTCAAGCTGTCAGGGTTCTTTTGGTTTAGTAATCTCTCAATTAGCTTTTTGCTGGGTGTCAGTAAAGCCTCCTGAGTGCTTTGGTGAGTAGTGCAAAGCCATGGAAGGCAGCTCAAATAAAATGTAAGACCATACAGAGACAGTTAATCATCCAGTCTTACTCTTAAAAGTTTTGATGACTTCTACTATTTCATAAACAATTACAAGTGGTTTTCCTTTTGTGGGCAGCACAGTGGCACAGTGGTTTAAAATTGTGGCCTTGCAGTGTGAGGGCCCTGGGTTCAGTTCTGTACCTAGGTGTCATGTGCCCTGCAGGCAGAGGGAGCTCCCACTCCTTTACCTTGTTTCCTGTGCTTTGCTGTCCTTCCGGTGTCTCTCTCTCTGGGGCTATATATTTCCAGGTCACTGATTCACCTTCGCTGAGCATTGACGTTCAGATGTCCTGAGACCTGCCTAGCATCCAGGTTGCCCCATGTCTGCTACCATTGGTTTCTTTATGACGCCTGGACTAATCCCCTGTTCCGCCGCTACACATATTCTGCTCTCCTGCCTCTCCACGGTTCGTCCCTTCCGATGTCCGTGACAATAGGGTGCTGTCTGTGTGGAATCTGCATGTTCTCTCTGTATTAGTGTGGGTTTCCTCTGGGTCTTCTGGTTTTCCTCCCACAGTCCAAAGACATGCTGGTACAGTAGGTTAATTGGCTTATGTGAAAGCATGTGAGTGTATCTATTTATGTGCCTTGTGATGGACTGGCATCCCACCCATGGTGTATTCTGCCTTGTGCCAGATGCTTGCAATCCAGCTTTCCCTGAATTGGATAAAATGGTAAGAAAATGGATGTGATAGATTTTCCTTTTTTGCATTTACAAAATCCAGATGATACAGTACCATCATATGTAAACTACTATAACTTAACAAAATTACTAATTAGTTCCTTTTTGTGCTGAGAGAAGTAGTGTACATTAAAGAAACTTTAGTTTAGTCAATCAGACCTTATTAGAGTGTGTTAGGCTATCTAGTCAAGCTGCAATAATGTCATGTCATGTCATTTACCAAACCGCTTTATACCATATGGTGTCACGGGAAGCCGGAGCAAACCTGGCAAGCAAAGAACGCAAGGCAGGGTACACCCTGGACTGGGCGCCAGTACAGTGCAGAGCAAGTGCAAGCCAATCATACATGGGGACAATTTAGAGGCCACAGTAAAGGCTGGGGGGGAAATCTGGCCCAGACAACAGGATAACCCCCTACTCTTATTGAGAAACGCCCGGGGATTTTAATGACCACTGAGAGTCAGGACCTTGGTTTAACATCTTATCCGAAAGACAGGGCCCACTACAGTATAGTATCCCCACCACTACTGGGGCATAAGGACCCACACAAACTGCAGGGTGCGTGACCCCCAATGATCCCACTAACACCACTTCCAGCAGCAACCATAACTTCCCAGGAGGTCTCCCATCCAAGTACTAACCAAGGCTCAACCCTGCTTAACTTCAGTGGGTAGCCAATTGGGATTGCAGGTTGATATGGCTGCTGGCATAGCTGCAATAATGGTAAATGGTAAATCTCAATTTCTACATTTATTATGTATTCTTTGATATTACACCCATGTGTAGTGTTCTGTTACAGTATATTATTAAGTTTTTAAAAGAATTAAAGTTCTTTGTCTCCCAATCTGCATTGTAAATGTGTGTCTTGCATACTGAATATAAGTAGACAATTTAATTTTTCATGTCCACAGACAGGTATACCAGCAGCAGTGTTTTTTAAGAGGAAAAGAAAGGGATATTTCTCTACATGAAGTGTTGTAGGAATGTGAAATAAAAACTGCCAAAAATAATATTGTGGCTTCCGAACAGCTAAGACCATTCACAATTCAAATTATTAAGATACTAACAACCAAATGAGCAAGATGGACCAAATGGACTATTCTAATTTGTTACTGTTCTTAATATTAACATCTACACAGCTCAGGTAACATCTGTTCCAGAGTAAGACCTGCACTAATTCAATCCTACCAGTAGGTGGTATCCTTACAATTAAAAACACCCGAATAGCTGTCAGAATTCACAACTGCACATGGGACATGTGCTTGGAGCTACTGTGAATAATAACTCACTTTCCTGCAGCCAGCATAATTAAGGCAGGTTTAGTGGATCTGGGGCATGTCAAAGAACAGATGTGCAGAAACAATGTGAAGTAAAAATGATGTAAAGGTGTACAGGGTTATGCACAGCTAATTAAAAACCAGTTGGCTAAGGGTGTCATTGTCAAATTAATTGTCAATGATGGACAACCATTTTCTCTACGGATGCAAACGCAAAAGCCACTTGACAGCCTGAATTGGTACAAGACCACGTTATTGTGAATGTACTGACCATATTCCTGTTTATGCTTTTCTTTTTTCTATCTGTGTTTTAAAAGTACTGATTTTAATATGACTGGTTTACATGTCTTGTTTTTCTTGATGTGGAAAGAAAATGTTCTAAAACTATTAATGTACAAAGTGTGGTTCCAGATAAATGTTTACTTTTGTAACTTTAAGTGATGTACTGTAGGATAGTATTTGGGATAACGTGTTAGCAGGCATCACCTTGTCTTTTATTGAGGTAAATGGATGTATACTTCATTACGAATACAAAGGAAGAAATAGCGCCAGATATTTAAAATATTTTTTCCCCTAATTTATTCTGAAACTTTTTTTATTAAAAAAAAACGCAAAATAGAATAAAGAAGAAATACCAAAAAGTGGTTAATGGGGATATTTCTGGAAATGGGGATTAAGTTCTGAAGATAAAAAAAAACATCTGATAGTTATGTCAGTGTAACTCCATAGCAAAATGCTGTAAGCCCTTGCAATGCAATGTCACAAAATGAGGTTCAGGTGTATGTAAGTCTCCAGACAGCCCCATACAATATTTTTTGGTTGTACTGTAGTCTACTGTTTGCAAACAAAACACTATGAAGCTGTGACAGAAGATTGGTAGTTACTCAGGAATTGTCACTGAGCAGGAGGAGCTGAAGGCTCAGCAACATAGTCCCAATGGTTACATTTGAAAAATATGTTTGTCACATAACCCAAAAAACACTCTATTATGGGTCATTCACACAACATGCAAGAAGATGTAATAAAAGATATAAGAAGATACTGTGTACACCTTGAAGTGGAACAAACAGTCTTTATCAGGAAATGTGTATTTTATGAGCGAAATGAAAAATGATTTTTCTGGAGTGCTAATTTTTTAGAGGATGAGGAGCATTATCTCATACCACATTCCAGTTAGGATGAGAATACTGTAACGCTTATGGCCGACTACAGCTACTGGGCTGTAGAGAGATCTCTCTTTAGCTCACCGGGCTGGGTCCCTGTTGAGTGACGCGGGAGTCCCGGGTTCGAGCCCCTGACGGTGGGGGGCCGACCTAATGCGGCAAGGGCGCCCGCCTGAGCCCCCGTTGCGTTACTTTGGTGTCAGCAGTGGGATGGGATAGCCCTTCGCCGGGGACGGCGAATTAAGCGGGGGAGAGTGTAACGCTTATGGCCGACAGACACTGTGTAAGAGCCGGCTTACCAGAGTGGTGACGTCGCTGCCCTTCCCTGTGATACCAGGACTACAGCTACTGGGCTGTAGAGAGATCTCTCTTTAGCTCACCGGGCTGGGTCCCTGTTGAGTGACGCGGGAGTCCCGGGTTCGAGCCCCCGACGGTGGGGGGCCGACCTAATGCGGCAAGGGCGCCCGCTTGAGCCCCCGTTGCGCTACAATACTATACAGTAGAGCAATGGACACTTACTTGGCAAAGAGATGCTTAGTGATTAATTAAAAATCAAATTAAAGTCATATCCTATAACAATATACTCAAGAAATTGTAAGAATTTAAGCCTTAGGTAGAAACTGTAGACAAAGACATTGTGTGCATCAGCTAATGACTAGTCACTACAGGTCTCCTTAAAGAGTTTCAAAAACACACCAGTGAAGGACAACTCCTTCTGTGGGAGGTGGGAATATGTGATATGAAATAAGCAGGAGAGTATTTTGCATGCATCAATCAGAAAACATATTATCAGAAGTACATGAAACTGTCTCACAAGAACATTATATTGAACCCCTATAAGCAAGTACCATACAAGAAACAAACATAGAACCATACCGACTGTCTGAGAGAAAAAGCAGCCTATAACTCATCTGGGACCCTAAAACCCAGATCAAAAGCAAACAAGCAAAACCTTAGCTTCTCAGGTTTTCAGCCAAGTTGTCATGTCATACACATGATAAGTTTAAAATAACGCCCTCCACACTGAGTGTCCCACAGCAATTGTGTAATAATGTACATTAGGGTCTCCACATCTGCAAATTTAACATTCACAAATTCGCTTTTTCACCATTTGGTCTGTCCAACAGGTGCTTGTATGGAAGAAGGGCACAGTGGGTTGAACGCCAGTGGCTGTGAAGTGTAAATTAGTGGTGCAACAGACTCAGATCGTAAGATGAACATAGTTAGTGAGTGAGCCTTTCCCTGTCTCCTGCCCAAATACCCACTTCCCATTTACACCTAAGCATACAACATACAGATTATTTTATAGTATATTGTAGCAAACTCTTTGGATTCTTAGCTGGAAGTGTGGAGAACAACAGACAGGAGACAATGTTGCAGGCTCTCTGTTTTATTGTCCTTTTCATTACAGTGCAATCTAACCATGGAGGCACAGAGAGAAAGTGCAGGCTGGGCACAGAGTAAAGATATGTTTATTTTTGCTGATTACTATCTGATTACTAAGCTTGTGATTACTGTTGTTCTTTTTAGTTGATCAATTAATTATCATATAAAGAAGGATTACTTATGTCTTTTAACCATAATACTATATCCTGGGGTTCATGATGTGACAGTGTTGGGGTGGACTGGGCTATATCTGAATTTGACTATTCAAGACAGTTCTCTGCACCAAACCCTCACAAATGTCGAGACTATACTGTATATCACAAAAACAACATTCCAAGAATAACAGATAAGTTGAACATAAATGCACCACCTCCTCCAAAAATTCAGAAATTCCAGAACACCACATTTGAATGTTTTACTGATCATCAACTTTGCTAAGAAATCCCAGAACATCCTAAACATAAAAAGGTACAAAAAAAAGCACAGGGCAAAACACAGGTGCAAAAGTGTAAGGGAAAGGATGCCCAATCTGAAGTAATAAAGAAATACGTCTGGCTTTATTAATCTGCAGCTCTGACAGAAATCACCCCACCTCACGTGCCCATGGAACGTGACTATACTGGCCACCAATCTTCATCTTGGCTTTTTAAAGCAAAAAGTGACACAATTCTAGCTGGCAAAGGGTCTTTTGCACAGGGGTTAAACATATTCTGCTCTATGACATGCAAATGGAATATTTCAGGAAAGATATATAATCTCTGTCACTTCAACATTTGTAGCTGCCTGATGTTTAAGATGTTGATTAGTAAACCAAAGCAGTCTGAAGGCCCGTCATTCTTAACATCCTCACTGTCATTAATCCTATATATTCCTATGACTTTAATGGGCCTGGTGGTGGCTTGTCAGTGTTGCCATTTTTGTAGCCATTTTTACAAAAAGTTAATATGATCATCTCACTTGGCTCCATCTGGCAAATCAATAATTTGCAGATTAAATCAGCAAGCTGCTTCCAATTCCTGCAGGTGGGTTTTAAACAACGATGTCTACAGTACTTCACCGACTTTCTGATGCTGCGTTTTTTCTGGCACTGCTTCACCAGAAGGATGTTCACTCATTTACTTCCCCTTTACATTACTGTGCATGGGTGACCGAGTAAATGCCAACCTTTCCTTCAGCTGCTGAGGGTAAAGGATAATCCCCAGAGTGGTGGAGACATCAGCAAAGAGATTGGTTACCACACACTCTTTGACAGCCTCCAATCAAATCAAAGCACCACAGAGCCAATGTGTTTGCATCAGTGACTCATCACAGGAAACTGCAGTGTTTACAGTTGCAGCTTTCACGAGGCTGTTTCCTGTTCTTTTGTTATCCTTAGAAGTTCTGCTTTTGGGGGCTTGTATAATGGTGTGCAATTGTAAAAATATGTTTATATTTAAAAATATACACTGAAACGTATTTTTTATTATTAACAGAAACAATTGTGCAAAAAACACCATTTTAACTAAACCACAAACTTGGCAGGGAACCCCCAGAATACTCTCTTTTTGATTATTCCTAGAAGTCCCTCACATCTAGACTGAGGATTGCACAAGGAGAAATGTCAAAAAAGAAAATAAAAACACCATCAGTCCTCAAAGCTTAACCTACCTTTCCATAGGGCACCATGATTATCCTTACCAGGACAACATTGATGCGGGCACCCAGGGATTTATCATGGTATATCTCATTCACCTGGAGAGACAAAAACAAATTGAACACTGATAAACCAGGACAGAGTAAAATCACTTTTTAACCTTTTACCTCAAAGTTCACAAGCCAAAAGTTCTAAAATGATGGCTTTGTATCCAGTTGAAGCTAACTGTATTTATTCCTTTTTTCAATCCTGTGTTAATGTTTTATTTTTGAGAAATCCTTGGGCTACATTGGGCTACATAAAGAAAAGCATGATGTTGAGTTACAGTACATAAGGTATGGCATTGAAAGAAAAAAAACAGGCCCAGAAGGATTTCACTCCCTAGTCTGGCAAAATGTGCCATAAACAGCAAATAAACAACTTTACAGACAATTCAGCCTGCTGTATGTGTTAGGTACCATACTGTAGATAGTAGTCGGTATCTTAGTAAATCAGCAGAACCAGTTTTCATAGTTTTAATAACTTTTGTTTATTAAACAAAACAGTACAGTAGACTTGTGTTTTAAACAAAATATTTTAATGCAAATTTGTGTATGTGGTCAGTGACAATAAAACAAGAAAAATCAAATAACGTGGGAAAATTCACATCGGGTGTGACATGCACCTGAGCTATGGGTTGGGAACTAGTTATGAAGCCTATAGCATGCTGTTTTTTACATGTTCTGATTATAAACAATTTTGGGTAAATGCGCTATGTCAGGAATGTAACTATCCCATAAAATGCAAGTCTACTGTATAGACTCTCCATCTTTAAAAAACAAAAACAAAACAATTAATTTCCTCGAGACAGTCAAATATTCTTGCTGCTCAGACTGTCTGCTTAGCTTGGCCAATTATAAACCAAAGCTTGGGCAATCCTGGTCTCAGGTAGCTAATGGCTTTGCCCAGACTTGACCTTCTGATGTCTGTACTACAGGGCTGAAACTCTAAATGGCCACATTTAATATATGGGCATCTCAGGAAGCCAATACCAGACTGAGGAAGAAGAAATCTAGAAATCCAATGGGCAATGCCATTTCCAATATATTTTTTTGCTTTAATGCATTTTTGCATGAAATGCATATTTTGACTTAAATTATATTGCACAAAAGAACTACATCAACTTACTATATGTAGAGCTAATAGGTGCACCGGAAAGGGTCAATACACCAGAAAACCTTTGAGGGCCAATATGTAGCTGAGTTTAAAGACACATTTACTGAGAGGCTTTTTTAGTGTTACTCCCCAGTAATTAATTTCTACTGAAAATACAATAGCAGGAATACCCTGATAAATTAAGAAGAAATAAACAGTACTAAAGGTTTAAAAATGAAATCTAAAATACTAAGAAAAGCGATTTTTACTGTTGAATCTGTATATTAATATTTTATTCGGTCGCAGAAAATCCAGCAATGGTCAAGCAGCTCGGCATGAATTATTAAACACAGATGGAGAATACGTGCAGGTGTTATCAAGCATACCTATTTTCTACCAGTAAACATCACTGATCAAATCACTTGTCATGCCCAGAGTCCCCAGAGAGAACAATAAGAGCTCCTTACTAACCGCTGCTACCCTGCAATATAAGCCTAGCATCCTGTCTTCATTGGTTCTTATATAACATAACATTCAACATCAACTTTTGCCTGAGCATTTGTTTACCAGATGAACAGTGCCTTAAAAACAAGCGGGAAAAAGACTGTGAAAAAATATTTGGGTCAAACAGTAAGACAGAAGCAGGCAAATTGATACAGAGTTCAGACAAGTTGTAGTGTGTTTTTTTATTATTTATTTTTAATGAGGACCTGGTGTAAACAAAATGGAAATAATGAGATTTTGAAAGATGGACGCAAACTGCCAATTGCAGACCTGCCTGGCTGAACTTCTCTCAGCATCTGAGAGGATCTTAGTCTCCTTCGCAAGTGCTGCTGTTTTTTTCTTATGTGCTGCTACCAGTTGCTAAGCAACCTCAAAACTTCAGTGAGAATGGGAGCTTGTTGCTGAGACACCTCCATCTGTACAGCTCGTCTGACAGGCCTCACACTGAGATTCAGATACCTGCGAATACACTGCGGAGTCTGGCGTTCACTCACACAGCCCCAGAGAACAGTATAAATCACTTTATTATTATTGTATTTGTTTTGGTTCATTTAATTTCCCAACAAAACAAAAGATAAAGGGGCTCAAAAAAGCATTCCCAATTGGATCTTAAGTACTGTATTTACCTTGTTGACAATGACTTAACAACCTACAGTAAGTGAAAGAAACACTTACTTACACTTTCCATGCATGATAGAAATAACCATAAAATTCATAAACATAGTTCAGATTTCTGTTATTGAAATGCATCACAATTTGTCCATTTCAAACGTTTTCCGCACTTACAGAAGGATTACATGTGAAGCTTGAATGTTACCATGATTCACTTTAACTTTAAACCAGCTGAACAATGTAATTTCTAATATACTAATTGCTTAAATGCATTATATTAGCTTAAATTATTTTACCTTAAAAACTATGTCAGTGTATGTAGAGCTAATATTACAGTATTTCTAAAATAATTTCTGAAAATTCTAAAAATAAAAATTAATTAATCTGTGTAAATATCATTTAATCCAAATTTCCATTATGGATTATTTATTACATAGTTCTGTTATGTTGCATGTTCGCAGTGTACAATATTCATCTAATGAAAAGATAAATTAAATACTACAATGCTTAAATGACAATGCTTAAATACATCACTACAGTATTGCTGCATATGTGAATATTGTACTTCTGCTCCTCTTTGTGTGATATTTCTACTCATGAAATCAAACCAAAACATATTCTGAATATTTAGTGTTATTTGGATCCTTCATAATGTTTCTGCTGGCTTCTATTTCTCTCAGACTGCTTTTCAAAAGACAAAGTGGACACATACAGTATCTACAAATGGACAGTAAACGTGTTTATGTCCATCACAAAATAATGTCTCCACAGTCCATTTTGACTCTTTAATTTCTCTTTTTGCACTCTTTGAGTACTGAGGAACTGTATGGATTGACTTGATATTTATTTGTAAGGCTTCTTTTTTTACGCACAAAACACTTATTGTATCACTCATATAAAGGCAAAGGCTTGCAGTGGATCAGAATAAGAGTGATGAGAGATCAGATTGCCCATGTACAGTACACATTGCAGCCAACACAAAAGAGCGGTGCACACATTTGGATTATTTATTTTATTAGACAAGTTTTAACAGATCATTATTAGGTTTCTACAAATAACTGACAGGGTGTGCGAACCTGGTCAGTTTGCTCATCTCATATGCAACTTATGCAATCTCCTAATAAAATGAAAACCAATAGCCTTGCTTTTATACTGTAAAAATGAACCCATTCATACATGTGAAGAAACCAGAATGGAAATAATTTCAGGGCCGGATACAGTCACAGCTTGACAGATTTTCTGTCATTATAAAAGGTCTAAACACTTTTCTATTTTACCGTGGCGCATACCTGGTCTAGACTCTTCTCTCCTTACCTCTCAATTCTCACATAATCCCCTTCCCAAAACTCCAAAAACTCCCAGTGGGAAACAGTTGGAGAGACACGAAACCTTTCATTCAGTTCAACTAGAAAGCATTCGAGACTCTCCTGTTAATTTGATGAGTTAACATTTAAGTATGGATATTTACAAATGCCATTAGGCCGCTGTCGGATCGTTTGGACATTGATAAGTTCAGACTGACATTTAGCAGGGTGCCGGAAACTATAAATGTAGAGCTCCTGATCATTACAGAGGGCTACATTCATTCACTTGTGTTGGAAAGCCAAAGCAAGCAGTCAGAAACGACTTTGCAACTATGGATAAAAAAATATTTTCATCTGCTTTAAAGCTTCCAATAATATTCTATTACCTTATAAATTTATAAATAATACACACCTATAAGACTAAAAGAGATTCCATATTAAAATTGTCAGAAAGTTCCCTGCACTGTTTTTTGACAGACTCCATTAATTTTTTGCACAGTGTCCTACAAAAATATTCACCCCAATCGAATGATGTCCCATTATGACAAATTACAATACACTACACATGTTTTAATTCATTTTCGTAAATAAAATATTTTTAATCAAAAGATGAATGCTGTGACTGAACTCCTTCATTTGTGAAAGAAGTTAAATGTCAGCAAATACTACAAAGGAGAACCAACAACTAAAATATTTGATTGGTTAAGTACTCACCACCCTAATCAACATAATAAACTTGAATATTTTGAATATGAGTATTCAAGTCGTATTACACCTAGACCAACAGTTGTAAACAGGTGCCCTGTGTTATATGTACTGTATATTTATGACACAGTGGCTTGTTTTATTCTGCCAGAGCATTATATCATAAAATGTTATAAAAATGAATGTTTCTAACATGGAAGCAGCTAATTCAAATCTTGCAACTAAAGACTCTTCATAGATTTTACAAGACTACTCCTTTACTTTCTGATCAAGGCATCTTAAAGATCAACAAAATGTCGAGAAATGTTTGTTGCCTGGCAACGCCAGGGGTCACAACAAATGATGACTGGACCAATTAAACCGAGACTGACCTGTAGGTGAAGCTTAATGAGGTCTAAATGGACTGTGTTGCCATTCAGCAGTTTCTTTCCCTTTTTTAACCACACCCCTCAAGGTACACAAATGCTATACAAAGACTAGGGACCGAAACCTCCAGTGTATCTGTCCTTACTGACAAGAACAGGATAGTTGATAGTTTTCTTTTTGTGTCAAGTTCCAAGGGACACATTCTCATTAGCACAGCCCCACTACGTTTGAAGGTCTCAGACGAGTTTCATTATTTAGATTTCTGCTACCGGCTAACTAATGAAAGCCTAGAGGTCAGGGAGTCAGAAAATCATTAGGGCTAGATTAATAATTCAGTAGGGTCTTCCACGGTACTGATCCGATGCTTAAGTTGAAAGAGAAAGTGGAAGAGAGAGACTGGGTTGTAAAAAGGGAGAGAGAGGGTAAGACTAACAGAGAGAAAAAATGATAGCATGAGTGAGGAAGATAGTAAG